TTGGAAAGTATTGATCAAAAACAAAGAACTTCACAAATCAATATGATGCTTGCAAAGCTTTACCAAAAACATGGAATGGAAAGGTACCTGTTGCTGGTAATTTTAAAGATTGCTGTTTATTATAAATCTCCTGTGGGAATTTAAAAAGTATAATGGAAATGAAAAATAAAATTTAAAACATTAAATAAACAATAAACAAGTACTTTTTTTAAAAATATTTTTTTAATTACTATTTTTCTTAATTTCAAACACTTTAAATTTTAAAATTTAAGTTTTAAAATTAAAATAATTTTCCTTCCTAAAACTTTCCTAAAATTTACCATTTTAAGTAAAGTTCTTTCCTAAAATTTACCATTCTAAATAAAGTTCTTTCCTAAAACTTTCTTAAAATTTACCGTTCTAAGTAAAGTTCTTTCCTAAAATTTTTATAGTTACATTCTCTCTTATAATTTCCTAAAAATTTCCTTTATAAAGTTTTTACCTAAAACTTTTCTAAAATGTTCTTTTTTAAAATAGGTCTTAAAATAGTTTTGTGTCCATTAGATATTAGTTATAAGGTAAATGGTTACAAAGTAAATACACGAGCAATGGGATATAAAAGAAAAATAATGAAAATTAGATAGTAGTGGGATTTGAACCACAGCCTTATCCAAATAAAATTGCCTTATCCAAATAAAATGAATGTGCGTATACTGAATGAACAAAAACTTTGATTAAATCTAGACAAAATTGAGAAAAAAGTTTAATAAATTATTTCCCATGATCCAAGTGATCTAGCAGCTTATGGATGGCATTTATACAAAATGTTAGACAAATCATTTTATGAAAAAAAAATTTCAAAATAAATGATAGGTACTCAAATGAGCCACTAAATTTGAAAACATTTTTGTTGTTATTCGGCAACGTAGCGAAATAAGAAAAGGTGTAACAAAATATTAGTGGTCCGAGAATAGAACCTTGCAAAAATTTATTTTCCATTATTGCAAAATTTACTTTTAACTTAAGATTCTCAATGTAAATAACATAAAATCAAAAGATAGATAAAAGGATTGCAATTGGAATTAAGATTGAGTGCATAATGTATCAGTAGTATTATCATTTAAGCTACTCTTAAGTTTGTTACAAACAATCCGCTTGCACTTCTCCTTCATTCTCGACAGATGTTAGTTGGGTAGTTTTTAAACACTGAAATATAATCTCCAAATTAGAAGTACGTTTTTTTGTTGACAGAAAATTTTATATTGAGAGATTTTATACTGAGATTTTTATTATTTAATTCTTGTTTTAGCTCAGACCTTCGTATAGCTTTTTCTAACTGTGTTATCATATCAAAATTTTCTTCTACTTTGATTTGAAAATCATCATTAGTATTTTCTATACAATCTTTTTTGATTGCTTGAGGTAATTCCTCTAATAAAAGATCTTTAGCTAACGATATAACTGCTGATCTTTTTGGCTTTACTCCAAAAGCATCTTAAGTATCAGATAATAGAAAACTAGGGTTGTTGAAATATTTCACGAGGTAAATCAAATTACAATTTCTTATGCTTAAAGTTCTTGTTTTTAAAGCATCATTTAAATTTTTGCTTATGATTGTAGTTGACTTAAAACAAAACAAAGTTTTTTTCCTGCTGTAAACAAATTTAAGTCTTTTAACACTGTAATTAAATCTTAATTAAATCTTTAAAATCTTGGATCATTTTAATTGATCATTTTTAAATTCACTTTTTAAAATTTAAAGTGCTCCAAAGGTTTAATTAAGACTTTAAAGATTTAATTAAGACTTTAAAGTCTTAATTAAACCTTTAAAACTCTGAATCTGGAGACTGCACTTGGATAAGTGTCATTTTAATATATTTGCTTAACTTGACAAAGCGTTCAACCAATAATGCGTTCCAACATGTCTTGCAGTCTAAAATAAGTTTAAGCTCATGTCCTAACTCTGATTTTACATACTTCTGCAACTTTTTTTAAAAAATTTTTAACAGATTTTTTAAAGAATTTTATTGTGTGAAATTTTAAAATTAAAAAATAGTCTTTTAAAACAAAACCTCAACTGAACTACTTTCAAATGCAATGTAACCCAGTTCTTCACCTTGATTATGCTTTTAATCGTCGTCACTGTCATCCTCACTAATATTAATTTAAATTTTATTTTTTTGGTCGAAAACTTCAGTTGGTTTCACATTAAGTACATCCCCTACTGCTAAATTGATCGCATGGACATAGCAAATGTGATGTAGTTAATTGATTAGGTGGCTAAATTTAACCATAGCAATGCATTATATGTACAATATCATTTTTAAATTCCAGTTTGAATTCATTAAACTTTTCACTTACTATCTCAACAGCTTTTTCAGATGGCATACTCCCAACGATATATGCAAGTCCAAGATTATAAAGGCTTCCATTTGTGTACACATTAGTATTTATATAACAACGCGTTTTAATTAACGTATATTCATACAACAATCTGAACTAAACTAAATATGAAATGGTTAGCTTTTATGTCTTGTAATTCAGCTGTTAATTGAGCTTAATGTCTTTAGCATGATCCAGTAAAATATTTTTAATGGAAATTGAACTAGAAGGTATTTTTTGTCCTTTTTTTTTCCTTCAAATTCTTGTAACCTCTTACTTTTAGCAACAGTGTTAAATGAAAGTCCATCGATTGCAATGAGATCTGTTAGTATTTTGGCAATAATATCTTTTGCTTGTACAAAGTTTCTGATATCTTTTTGGGATGAACTTTGAACTGTTTTTTTAGGATGAAATAATGGCATTTCTATTTTATGCTTAATCTTTAGGTGCTTTTGCATATCACATAAAATCCTCCTTAAATTGTTACAATGGCAATACAGGTTTTGCATTGAGCAATTTCATTGCGCAATAAATGATCCTAAACAGAAGGATTGCTTTTAAATTCTTGGAAAGTCATTTTAAAATTATTTTTCTAAATTGGTTTGAAATATTATTATATATTGGCATCCAACATCAACATTACAAAAAGTAATTTCATGTAAAAAAAAATTGGGAACTAAATATCCGAACCAAATAGATCCGGATCTGAATCTCAAATAATTGGTACGGGTACCCAGGTATTCGGGTCCAGATCTTGGATCCGACTATGCCCTACTTATAACGCAGTGAGAAAAGGTGTAAAAAATAATACTATTTTATACCTGGTTTAAAAAATTTTGAAAATTTTTGCATTAAAGCAAAAAAGTTTTGACAAATTTCAAAAAGAATTTAGAAAATATTTTTTATTAGATTTTGAAAAAATTAAATCAAGCCTTAATATTATAATTATCGCTGATAAAACAAAAAACATTAATTAATTCATTACCAAATTTCCAAAACAAACTTTCTTGCAGGTTATTAGTTCCCTCAAAAAGTAAGAGAAGGTTGTTCCAGGTGAGACAATTTATTTAATAAACCATTGTAGAAATACCTGGGCAGTTATAACAGAGCAGAAATTGTTGAATTTCTTATACTATATATTTTAGATTTACTAGGTATATATTTTTTAAACATCTTCACTTCCAACAATACTGCAAGCAACCACTATTAGAGTTGGAAGTTACCTGAAGAGAAAAAATTAAGTTTATGAAGTAAAATAACGATTAAAAAACAACTTGAAAGATTGCAAATTATATGAATCAAAAAAAAAAGATGAAGGGAGCAAATTTGAGGGGGAAAAATTAGACGAATAAGAATTTTTGGAGCACTTCACTGGTGTTTCAAGGTGGATATAAGGTTTTTTGTTATTATTTAGAATTATTAGCTAAAACTTTTAAAACTTTTGAAAAATTACAGATAATTCTGTTTTGTAAAAAGAATATAAACACCAATATAATGTTTTATTTTTTAACATTTAATAATATGTCAAAACTTTCTTTGATTTTTAAATAAATACGCAGTAATAATGAACTTAACAGATTTTGAAAAATTTAATGTTAATTTTCAGCAAAAATAATCAAAATAACAAAATTTCTGTTGTTTAATATTTGATATGATCATTCTTAGAACATTTTCAAAGCAAAAAAACTTTACTTAAATCTTATATGAACCGATACAAGGATTATTAAAATCAGACAACAAAATTGCAAAAAATTGCATAGAATATTTAAAAAGAAAAAGGAGGGTTAAGTGGAAATTAAATACATTATCAAAGTTAAAGATATATTTAACAAATATTGAAAGTTCATGCAAAGAATTTCACAAAACTGATAAATTTATTATATTCAAAAATAAAACTAGAGTTTGCTTTTAAAGCTATGTGATGTAACTTACGTCATTGCTTAAAAATGAAAACAAAAATTCATGCATAAAACAAATTTAGTGCTAAACATGCCAAGTTTGAAAATATATTTGATAACATAGCCGAAGGTACAGAAATTAACTTTTTGGTTTTCATACCATAAAAGTTAGAAGTTTTGATAACTTAAGTTACTCATTAAAAATTTTGTGTTTTACTTTTGTAAATAATAAAACTAAATATATAAATGCCTTAGTAACTTAATAATATTTTAGAACAGACATTAATTGATATGTGTTCCAAATATTAATTAGTTATTATATAGCATGTAGTTATGTTATCAAGACATGTTTTCCGTAAAAATCACACAAAAAAAAAATTGATTCCAAGTCATTAACAATATTTTAATAATAATTTTTATTTCGTTTAATGTAAACATTAATTTAACAAAGAGAAGTTTATCTTTTATAATTTTTTTACTTAAAATAAAAAGCATTTATAAAAAAAATATACCATGTTTTTAAAGTTGGTGCATTTTTATACTTTTTTTGCAAAAAAAGTTTTTTATGCTAAACTCGTGACGTAATGCCCAATTTTACATTGCATGAAACACCCGTGACTTAGGGACAGACACAGTAATAGGATAAGACTTTATTTTATAATGAGTAACACAAAAATGAATTTTAGTAGAAAGCACAAGATCCAGTGCTTTTGCTTGTCTAAAAGAGAAAGGGCATCATTTGAAGCTCTGCTTCAGATATGGCAACAGTATTCCATACAAAGTTAGATTAAAGATTAGAGATAAAAAATAGTATCTATAGTGGTGTGCACGAAGAGCATAAAGAGATGCAAAGTTAGCAGATGTTAATTTTGCAATGGATTTTATAAATCGTTTCTAGTAATAGTAAACAGATGTCTGTTTTCTGGAGAATTGTTTTGGTGATAGGAAATAGGAAGATGGTGATAGGTATGGAACTCGATTAATCACTCGAATAATCCTAAATCTAACAACACAATACCAGAAACAAAATGTGATACAATAAATCAATATTTTGCAAGCTTGAAACTAAAACTTGAAAGTTTAAACTTGAAAGTATAAAAAAAAACCAAAAGGTTTTACAAATCCAATCACTTCACAATTAAGTTGATCACAATTGACAGTCCTAAAATCTGATTTCATTATGAAATCAGATTTTAGATTGTGAAAGATTATCATCTGATTTCACAATCTCCCCCTGTAGATATTTTTACAACGTTTGATACAGTCACTTGTAACAAAACATCAAACGATGTTTTGCATGTAATCAAAACTCTCAGACATTGCTACTCGATATTATTTCGACAAACATTCTTAAATCATTTTCAGAATTATTTAGTCTAATTATAGCTCACCTCGTTGACCTCTCATTCAAATCTGGAATTTTCTCAGTCTTATTCAAGGTTGCTCAAATTACACCAATTTCCAAAAAATCAGGATAAACAGTATTTAAAGACACTGATCTGACATAATATAAAATCTCAATACAATATCCAAAATTCCTGAAAAGGATGCTTTATCTCAGCTTCTTTATCTTCATTCTTTTTATCTTCTTCTTCTTCTGAAGTAATTTTAATGTAAACTTCAGACCTTTTCAATTTAGTTCTAGATTTAATCACTCAACAGAAACAGCACTTCTTAAGATATACAATGATATCCTGTTAAACATTAGTGACACTTTAACCACAATTCTCCTCTCTCCGGATAATCTGCAGGGTTTAATACAATTGATCACAACCTGCTAATTGCTCGTATAAAAAATGAATTTGGTATCACAGATATTGCACTAAAATGGCTGATATATATTGCACTCTTGAAAATCCTTTATTTCTATTGGCTTAACAAATCTAGATTGTCAGCGAGTTTAACAGGTGTACCACAAGGGTTGTCCATTAATTACGTCATCAAAATAAAGGGGAGGGGGGTCTGAACTTTTTTGACCATTGTTGACATGGGGGGAGGGGGTGAGGTCAATTAAAGTTGGCGCCAACAATTTTTCTTTTTTTTTTTGAGTTTCATTACTTAAATAACGGAAAATTAGGCTGAGTTTGTAGTGTAGTTTCTTTGTATAGAGGAAGGGGGGTAAACAAAGGTTAAGGTACTTTTATAGGGGGAGTCTTTGGAAATTTGACAAATTGTTGACAAATTTCCAAAGACTCCCAAGGGGGGGGGGGGAGGTTTCAAAAAATTTGTTGGCGTAATCAATGGACAGCCCCCAAGGTAGTGTATTAAGCTTATTTTTATTTTCAATGTTTGTTTCACCCATATATCGTATCATAGCAAAACATGGAACAAATCATCATCAATATGCTGATAATACGCAATTATATACTTTCATTAACTGAGGAAATGATAACAAAGTCACTGAATATGCTAATGCAGTCACAAAAGTTGGTTTCTAGAAAATGGACGTTTGTTTAACCAAGCAAAACAGAAGCTTATTGGATCAAGGTAGCAAACTTGAAAATTTAAAAATGATTCCAAAATTACATTCTCTGGAACAACACTAACTACAGTAAATTCGGTAAGAATCCTAGGTGTCACTATTGGTTCAACACTCTCCTTAGACCAACATATTAACAACACTGTTAAATCTTGCAACTACCATATTTGTACTCTTTGCCACATACGTCAATGTCTCATCATAGAAGCAGCTAACACAATTGCTTGTGGCATTGTTAACTCTCAACTTGACTATTGTAATTATCTTTTATTAGATTCTTACAAAAAAAATCTTAAAAAACTCCAGTTATCTATTTGAGCTTCTAGATACTTGAATTTTATAACAAAAAAAAGATCATCAGACATTTGCCAATTTACTCGTCGTCCATCAAAAACTTCCCGAGAATCAAAATCTTTCATGACTGCACGTTGAATATGGAATGACTGGTCTATAGACACACAAAACTCAACCACTTTAGGAACTTTTTGTAGATACTTTCTATATATCTATTAAACCAGACGTGAAATTTTTTTTTAAATGATAGATTGCTTGCCCAAACCAAACTCTCAGTAATTGTAGTGGTACTTCCTTGTAGCAGCAGGTTATACAATAATTGATGTAGCAGTTCTCCTTTGTAGCAGCAGGCTATAACAGGCTTGGACATTAATGGCGTGCGATTGAGCTATTGCAGACCACGCAAATGATTTAATTTTTTGACAACTTGACCACGATTGTTTATATGCTTTGATGATTTAAGCATTTCAGAAATGCGCTAAATGTAGAAAAGCTTAGCTAAACTTAAACTGGGAAAAAAGTTTTAAAAAAACTAAAGAAAAAAAATTCCTAACGAAAAAAGAAACAAAAAAAAATTTACAAAAAAGAATTATATAAGCACTAAAATAAAAACATTAAGGGAAACTTTTTTAACGTTTTTAATTATGTTTGGAATAAGTGTTAAAACTTTTTAAACGACTTATTAAAGTTATGCAAAACACTTTTTAATTAAGTAACAAATTACGACTAATGATTGTTTAATAAATGAACAAATTTTATCAAATTTATTAAAATTTGTTGTATATAGTATTTTTAAATTGTATAAACATTTGTTTTTTCAAAAAAGTTTTAAAAACAAATTGTTCATAAAAAATAATGTAGTCTTTTTAAAATAGTAATTTTTAATAAACAATTAAAATAAATTGCCAACAAGCAATTTAATTCATAATGCAACACTTTTTTTTATTGCATTTAAATTGTTAAAACATTAAAACAGCCGTAATCAAGTTGTAAAGAAAAAAAAATTAGTGTCGTCAGTTATAGAGTGCGATTGAACGTCATTCCTATCCAAGCCTGCTATAAGGTAGTCGATGTAGCAACACTTCCTTGTAGCAGCAGGCTATAAGATAGTCGATGTAACAACACACTGCGCATATTTCAAAAATATGTTTTAAAAAAACAAAATCAAAAACACTGTTAATTAAAAAACTTTCTAGTCATTATTATTGCCATTTTATTGCCAAATTTTTTCGACTACAATATAAGGATATATATATATATATATATATATATATATATATATATATATATATATATATATATATATATATATATATATATATTATAAATATCTATTTTTTTTTCCTTACATACATATTATAAGTATCTATTTTGCTTCCTTTTTTAACAGATCAGCAATTACTTGCTACAAAGATGTTTTAAGGTTTGTTTTTTTTTTATTTTTCATCTGTAATATTTGAATAGATTAAAAAAAAAAAAAGTTTTTTTTTTAGTTATAAAAGTTATCTTTTAATATATTAATATATTAATTATATAATAATATATTGCATTTTTTTTCCTATTTAGATTAGAACCACTTGCTTTGGAAGCAGCAACTGCCTTGTTAGATTTAGGGACACCATTGCAAGAGGTTCAAAGTCTTGTGTGCAAAATTGGAGCTCCATCATTCACACCTGAATGTTAAGTTACTATTTATTTTTATTAGTTTTTATAAAACATTCTGACATTTATTTATATAGAGTTATTATAGGATATATTAAATAAAAAAATAGAAATATATTCTAACTTAATAGAAATATATTCAAAACATTTATTTTTTTATTATTGTTTTTATATTATTTTTATTTGCTATTATTATTATTTTTAACTGTAACAAGTATTAATTATTTTTACAATTTGAGCTTGATTGCAAAATACTTTGTGTAATGTTTGAATAAAAAATTGTTTTGCATGTCCTTTAGAAATACTTAAATACAGTTGACTCTCGATATCTCAAATACTCGATATCTTGAACCTTTTTGACTCTCGATATCTCAAATACTCGATATCTCGAACTTTATTTCAGGTCCCTTGCGCACTCGTTTGAGCCAAAATCCTCTCAATATCTAGAACTTTTTTCCTGGTCCCCTGAGAGTTTGATATATCAAGAGTCAACTGTATTTGATGTTTTTTAATTTTAATTTTTATATTTCCTCTTTAGGTTGATCCAGTATATTAAAGGATACGCCTCAGTCTCTCTAAACAAGAATCTTAGTAAGAATTGAAGTTTTTGATATTTTTAAATTATTTAATCGTTTGTGTTTTTCTGCAATGATACTAAAAATTTTCTACAAAAGTTTTATTATCATTTTAATTTCATTTCTAATCCACCTAAATAACGTAACATTCACCTATTACGTACTACCTATGTGAATTCTCATACCGGCTATGAGAAGTTACATAGGTATTACATAATATTGCTATATTTAAATATTAGCAAAATAGTCACAAAATTTCTTTTCAATCTAAAATGGCCAGTACATTTTGTTAGTAGCCCTGGAATATTATTGAATTTCTAAATTTTTACAAATGTCTGGACTGATTTGTACCTGATTTTTTTTGTTACAATGTACAAATTGAGTATACAAAATAATTTTTATATGCTTTTAATAAAAGATTTCTTGTTTTACCAAACAATAATTTTTTATTAAATAATCAATTTTTCTTACAATCAATTTTGCATTACTTTTTTTATTTTCATTTTCCAAATAATTGTTTTGCAAAATTATTTGAAAAAAAAAAAATTTTGGGAACGGTTTTTTTGGGTTTCTGAGAAAAACTTTCAAAGCGTATTTGGTTAGTAATACGATTGAAAAGTAATAATATAATTAACATTATACATATTATTGATTCATTCTTTTAAATTTTTATTGAAAAGAATTAATAATATTGAGCATTAAATTTAGAAAATAAATTTTCATAATTTAATACTCAATTACTTTAAATAGTCTTAGTGTCTGGTGAAGGCAGACTTTCCAAAAAGTTTTCAGTAGATTCGAATGGAGAAAACTATCTAATTATAAAACAAAAAGTTAATGCGCAGTTTTAATGTTACATGATTGGATAGATTTTTTTTCTGCTTCGTTCTGCTCAAAATTTTCTCTAAGTGGAAATCCGCCTTAAAACAATTTAAATAGGATGTGAACTCAAAATTATTTAATTCACTAACTGTTCCTCCACTCATTATTCATAAACTCACTCATTTTTTCAAAAACTATAAAACAGTATTTATTCAAATCAAAAACTATAAAACAGTATTTATTCAGTTATTTTTGAAAAATATATTTTCATGATATTTAACCTTTTTGTTTAGAAGCACTACAAGTTTTTAAACCTCTCGAAAATCAGGTTTTTTATTTATTATTATTTTTTAATTACTTTCTTGCATCATGGCCTACTTAAAATTCACAGCCTTTTATTCTGCATTTTTGCCCAAAAAATAGAAGGCCAATAATGGTTAACAAATGTTGTGTTTTTGGATGTCAATCTATTTATTCAGGTTATAAATCAACTCTTGTATTTTCTTTTCCAACAAACAAAGATATAAAAAACAAATGAAAAATGAATTTTATGAAAAAACTGGGAACCTACTTCCTCATCTGTAATCTGTGTAATCTAACAAGGCAGTTGCTGCTTCCTAAGCAAGTGGTTCTAATCTAAATAGGAAAAAAAATGCAATATATTATTAAATAATTAATATATTAAAAGATAACTTTTTATAACTAAAAAAAAAATTTTTTTGTTACTTATCCAAATATTACAGATGAAAAATAAAAAAAAAAAAAAAACCTTAAAAATCTTTGTCGCAAGTAATTGCTGATCTGTTAAAAAGGAAGCAAAACCAATTTAATAAGTATTATAAATATTATAAAAATATTTTAATAAATATAATAATTATTATATACTCTATACTATAATTTTTTTGCCCCCATAAGTATAGTTTTATTTATAAAAAATGATCTCCGTAAGTAACTTTTAGGAAATGTAAAAACTACATACATCCACTATCTTATAGCCTGCTGCCAGCAGTACTACCACATTGACTGTAGGACTACTACTACATTGACTGTTGATTACATGTTTGTTTATTTCATTAATATAGATTACTCTTGTAATTATTATATAAAATAAACTTATATAAACAAGGTAAAAGATAAAAGGGTGAACAAGGTAAAAGGTTCCATTTTATTAATAATATTTATTAATACCTTAAAACCAGTAGAAACTGGTTTATTCATCCACATTCTATAGAAATCTTTTTGTATTATTATCAAGTTATTATCAATTTTTTTGTATTATTATCATAGTTTTATTATCAAGAAGATCTCTGGTGAGTATTGTAGAGAAGATCATTGGTGAGTATTGTTGAAAAGATCTCTGCTAAGTATTGTGGAAAAGATCTCTGCTGAGTATTGTGGAGGAGATTTTATTGATCCCAACAATAAGAATGAACTTTATAGAAGTATTGTTTTATGTTTTATGATGATAGTGTTAAAAGAAAATGTATCATACATTATAATAGCCTCTCAAGTCACCAAAATCAACAGTGATTGGTTAAAAGATGAAATTTTGAGCTGCTTAGATATTTTAAATATGAGTGGTTTTAACGTAAGATCTATTGTTTAATAACCATGACACCCATACTAATAATGTTTCAACCTACTCAATATTAATAAAGTTACATTATCAATATATTCATAGTGTCTAAATTTTTAATTACAAATTTTTTTTATTTTTCAATAGTGTTTACCTGATAAAAAATGTTAGAAATAATTTGTTAAATAAAAAAAGAATTGTTTTATCTGCATTCGATTTTTGATGGAATTTTCTGGAAAATGTTGTATGATATTCCCAAAAAAGATGAAAATTTGAATGGAACTTTAAGAAAAGTTCCTAGAATCTGCAATAATCTTTTACATTAAGGCAAATTTAAACAGAATGTTCAGATTTCATTTTTGTTCAGATTGTTGAGCACTTTTTTAATGAAAGTACAATAGCTGCTATAAAATCTTCCAAAGATGCTTCTAGTTTCCTTCATCTGTTGTTTCAGCTGATGTTTCCTTCATCTTTTCAAACAATGATCAACAATTTCTAAATTAAAAGACCAATTTTGTTTTAGCAATTGACTCGGAGCAGCAGCTATTAAAGGTGATAAGTTTCTGCGTGCAATGGCTCAGCTTTTAACTTCAAAAAAACTTTACCTTATCAGCTCAAACATCTTCAGCTTTACAAAACTTTTATGTCAAGCATCACTAATATAAGACTTTTTAAATGATGGCTTTCATTTTATTTTAACTGCTTGCTTCCAAACAACCCTATTGAAAGACGTTTTGGCCAATATTGCCAAATAAGAGGTAGCAGGTTTCTGGTAAGCTTGAAGTATGTTTTATGTAGTTTGAGAAAAATAAAAAGCAAAGATTGAATAAAAAAAAAATCTTTATATCAGTTAAAAATTACATCAAATTAAAAATTGGTAAAAGAAAGCGACAATAATATTGAAAGTATCAAAGCTACTGAGACGAAATTTTTCAAAATAAAATAGAAGACATTAATTATAAAAAAGTTATACTGTCTGATGAATCTTGTTAAGTTGCAGTGTATGCTGTTGGGTATATAGCAAAAAAGTTGAAAAAAAGGTCTAGAGAATTTGCAAAAATAAATTTATTTGCAGTAATTCTACAATAGATTCACAAGATATTTAAAATATTTTGTCAAGAAGTGGCCTGATATTTTTGTGATGCTTTTGCATAAATCGATTTTGTTTTTGATACTATTAATATTTGAAATCTAAACTTTTTCTAAACTTTAATAAATCTAAACTTTCTCTCAATATTGCAATGAAACATAAAGCATGTTTATGTTTTGCCCACTGAATTAAGGGTCAAGATCTTGTTCATCACACTATTTCAAACATATAGTTCAAAAATCATTAAAATATTTATAAAAATATTTATATTATAAAAATATTTAAACTATATGTTTTTGTATTGATAAGGACAAAAAAGAAAAACTGTTTCTAATATCTTGTTGAGTGTTGAACAACTCAAATTAAAATAAATAAGACATTTTATTGAAGCTTTCATATTAGTCCAATTTAGTTTTTGTGAATTTAAATATAAATGTATGAAAAATATTGATATAAATATATATATATTTTTTAATTTTACTGCGAAAATGAAGAAGTAAGGTTGTGTGTTTTAAGTAGGCCATACTTGCATATTTTTTAATTTTTTTATATAATTTAACAAATTTAATAAATGATATTAAATATTAAAGTATGATATAAGATATTAAATTTAGTATATATATATATATATATATATATATATATATATATATATATATATATATATATATATATATATACATATACACATATATATATACACAAGTTTACAATAAAAAGTATACGTATGGGAACAAATAGATTATCAGGGACATTTTTGTGTACCTATAAATTTTTTGCCCCCATAAGTATAGTTTGTAAAAAATGATCTCTGTAAGCAATTTTTACGAAATAAAAAAATATATATACCTCCACTATCTTATAGGCTGTTGCTAGCAGTACTACCACATTGACTGTAGGAGTACTACTACATTGACTGTTGATTACATGTTTGTTTATTTCATTATTATAGACTTTAAAAAATAACCCTTTTCTGATTGCACAAATTGCTGAATCTTATTTCAAAGCTGGAGATATTGAAAATGCAAAACTAACATATGAAAGAGTGAGTTTTTTTTTTAGTTTTTTACACATAGCTTCTTCTATCAAAGATTTTTATAGAAATAAGCTGTTCAAGTTTGTTTTTTTTGTTTTCTCTAGATACGTTTGGTTAATAAATATTATATCAAAGGAATGGATATATACGCACAGCTATTGGCTGACGATAACCAAAAATCTGAATTACAAATGTAAGGGTAATTTGAGTAAAATACAAATTTTTTTAATCGTTTATTTGAAAACATTAAAAAAATTTTTAAAATAAATGTATATAGTGGATGAAAAACAAAAGTTTTTTGGCTTATATAAAAGTTTAATGTATTTGTAGTTCACAGAAGTTTTTTATTACCATGGTTTAGTTTAAAAACAATTTTTACTTAAACTTATAGAAGTTGTATAAGTTTTATATTTATTGGAAAAATCACTGAAACTATATTCAAAGCTGACACATTGATACGCAATGTGTCATAGTTAGCTGTCTTAAAGAATTACTTTTCAGTATTATTCAGAATAATAATAACCATAAGCATTTAAAAAATACAGTTATAAATTCCAAATTATTTATAGTAGAAATGTGTTCAATATGGTTACACAGTTTATTGCAAAGTTTCCACAAATAACCAATCGACTTTAAACATTCAGCATTAATTAATTAATTCAGTATTAATTAATTCAGCATTAACTAATTCAGCATTAATTAATTAATTCAGCATTAATTAATTAATTCAGCATTAACTAATTCAGCATTAATTAATTAATTCAGCATTAATTAATTAATTCAGCATTAATTAATTAATTTAGCATTAATTAATTAATTCAGCATTAATTAATTAATTCAGCATTAATTAATTAATTCAGCATTAATTAATTAATTCAGCATTAATTAATTAATTCAGCATTAATTAGTTCAGCATTAATTAATTCAGCATTAATTAATTAATTCAGCATTAGTTAATTAATTCAGCATTAATTATTTAATTCAGCATTAATTAATTCAGAATTTAGTTAAACAAAAAAAAAAACATTTTATAATTTTTTTAAGAAAACAAAAAAATTAATTTAGGTTATCCCAGGATCTTTTAGAAATCAATGATCAAAGTGTTGAATGCTGGGTAACTTTGGCATATTACTCGTTTTGTTGTGCACAAAAAGCTAGAGCAGTTTATTTTGCTCAAAAGGTTTGAATATTTTTTCAAATTAAAATATTGTAAAATTTTAAGTAGTTAAATAAATATTCTAATTGTTGTGTTGATGTGATGTAATTGTTGTTGTGATGTCAAATGTTGTTAAGTTACTTTTTTTCTAATGGAAAAAGTTGGATTTAAACTTTTGGAAATTTCTGTATTTTAATTACAGTATTGTTTTTTTCTTTTTTTTTAAGGCTCATGTGACTGATGTTACTAATATTCAAGCATTACTTTTAAAAGGTTTTTATTTTATATTTTATTTCTCTGCATATATACAATAAAATTTTGCTAATTCATACCCTGGATTTTTTAGCCTTTTACTAAGTCAGACAGATTTTCAATTTCTCTTAAACTTTCAAAACGCTATAAAGTTACCCGTTTAAGTCACACCCTGGTTAAGTTAGGCCATTTGCTAACGCCTTTACTTTTTTTTTTTTTTGTAGTTTCCAAAAAAACTTTCTTAACTAAAATTTTCATTTTGTATTAATTCTTGAATTAAATATTCCATTCAAAAATGTAACTTTATAATAATTTACCTTGCATTATATACAGTGGGTGATTAATGTATATATATATATATATATATATATATATATATATATATATATATATATATATATATATATATATATATATATATATATATATATATATATATATATATATATGTATATATATATGTATATATATATGTATATATATATAAATATATATATATTTATATATATATATATATATATATATATATATATATATATAATGATTTTTAATATTTAATATTTTGTTTAAGCTTCACTTCTGCATTCATTAAACAAGACTCAGGAAGCACTTATTCACTTTAGGGAAGCTATAAGATTAGATCCAAAAAGATTTGATTCATATTCTGGTAAAAATTTTTATCTTAAAGTGTAAGTAGAATGTGTCAAATATTTTTAGCTGTAATATATGCAAGAGATCATATTTTATGACTCAAAACAACTTAAAGTTTTAAAGAACAAAAAATATCAAATTTTTATGAAAATTATAAGTTATTTTAATTTATTAATAATATGTGGTTGCGTTACATAAAAAATACAAATATCAAAATACAAGCAAAGAAGAAAGAAGCAAACATGAATACAATGTTTATTAGCGCTATTATTTTTTTACAAAAGATCTAGCTAATCTAGTTATTAAAGGTGTGAGCAAGTAGTAATAACCTTTTGTAGATTTTGTAGATGGAGTATTTAACTTGAGGCCGATGCTTCAACAATAGTAAGCCAATATGTACATTCCGTTCTTCCCTGATAACATTCTTCCATAAACTTCAAATCTTGGTGAAATTGTTCACCTTGCTCTTCACTAACGTCATCAAGATTTTCCTGATGGCTATGTAGAAAATGTAGTTTAGTACTCATGTTACAACCAAGTACTTTTTTACCCTCATGTTACCATCAATAGTTTCTGAACAATAACTGCTTAATTACTTGCACATGAAATAAGTTGTATACCCAGCTGGCCAAGGAAGAAGCACACCATTTTTTCTTGGTTAACACAGCTGATCCAGTTGTATTTGTATTGCAATAACTCAATAACTATCTTTACATTTCCATGTTCTTCACAAAGAATAGCTGAATGCCCAATAGGAACTGAGCCTTATAAATTGCTTATGTGTAGAAGGATACACTTTAAGCTCTGCTTCAAGCTATATATAGTTTAAAAGTATGATACCTTCACTTCACTTTTTCCAGCAAGTTTTTCTTAGTTTTGCAGCTAGGATTTTTAAGCTTTTGAGAGACTAAAATCTAGTGCCAAATTATTCAATTCATGCTGGTCAAATCCACTATTAACTGAACTCAAGAGTTTAAAATCTATATCATTGCTGTCATTTCATTCTTCAACATTAATCAGGTCTTCTACATGAGGTAGTTGTTCAAAAACTGGCACTGAAATTTTATTCCAGTGCCAGTTTTTGAACAACTACCTCATGTAGAAGAATGATGCATGTAGAACAATATTCTGTTGAAGTGTTTTAAAAGTTAGTTTTAAAAAGTATGTATTTTTTATGTAAATTTTGTGTATCTGTTTTTCATCGTAATAAAATCTTTTAAAGCAATTTTTATGATTTAATTTGTAAACAAAGACTTACAAAAATAATTGCGTTTTCAATGAAGTTATTAATAATCATTAAAGTTAATAAAACTAATTATGTAACAAACATATAAGAAGTTTCTGGTTACTAAACACAAACAATGCATACAAAGTAACTCGCGGATAAACAAGCACCACGCCTGAGGTCACGACAGAACACAAATATATATAGGAAGTTATTAGATATAAAAAAAAGTTTCTAGATATTGGTTTACTAACTCTAATTATTTTCACTTCAGTTGCCATTCTTAAAAACTTGTTAAACTTTTTTCTGCCTAAAATACTAATTAAAATTAAAAAGCCCACTCACTAAACATCATCAGCAATATTGTAAAGCAGTTTCGCTTCCTCATCATAAAGTATTTTTAACCTTTTTAGTTGATTTCTATCTAATTTATTTGATTTCTATAGTAATTCAATGATTTAATTATTTTATTTGTTTATCTTTCTAATAAGAATTGTTTCAAATATGTTATACTTTTCAAACTACGCGAAGCATAAAATAGGTATTAAAAAATTAACTTTTTTATTTATAAAATAATTTAGCTTAGATAAAATTAAGACTTGCATTAGATTTATTAGATTCATGTTAGACTTTTTGGGGCCAGGGGATATTTTTATTTTGGATGCTTTTGTATGTACCACAGCGTAAAAATGGCTCAACAAAAAGGTCTTCTTGACTTTTTTGAGGCCCTAACAATGTGGGGCTAGTGGCTATAGCCCCCTCTAAACCCAACCCTCCTTAATCGAGCATTGGAAATAAGACACGAGTATATAAATAAAAATTATATTACACTCTTTTAAATAAAAAACATTTGTTTCCTGTTTAAACAATCGTAAGATGCTACTTATCATAAAAAACGTCGCTTAATTTTATAAAAAAATTATAAAAGAGCGATGTTTTGAAAATATTTGTTTGAAATGATCATGTTTTCTATTTGCTAATAGTTGTAAACTCTCATCAGATTGCTTGCATACTTTGTAAGAGGCCTATAGCTTGTCTTGATCACCAAGTTTTACTTTAAAGTTTGCAAAATATGTCTGTTTGACAAATTGTTCCCCAGTGTTATCTAAATTAAATTTATTTTCTAGTTGATCTAATTTAAATTTTTATTAAATTTGTCACAACAAAATTGGCTTAAAGATTTTTTAAATGTTCTATTAAACTCATAAGTAACAGTTTGATTAGATTTTGGGTTATTGATCTTAGGTTCTTTCTTAAATGGTTTTGGATTCTTTTTTTCATTATAACCAATGATTTTATGATTTTTGGTCAGTTTAACTTGAGTCTTGAGCTTTAGGTTGTTTGATAGGCAACAAACTATTAAACACATTTAGAAATTTTTGTCAGAAATTTTTTTTTCAATATAGCATTTAAACTAAATACCATGGTTTCACTAATATATAATAATATCTTTAAAATGTCAAATCATAGAACCGCATTTAGCGCACTAAATAAGTTTAACCAATACTATTATGTATACATAATTAAATATTGGTTAAAAATTTAATGTGATATTTGATGTTTTTCTAAAAGATTTGGACTTTAGATGTTTTTCTTCAAAATATGGAGAAATTTGAGAAAAGGAAAAAATAGAAACAATAGTAATGATCTTTTTTTTCTCAATATTTTTCTTTTAGTTTATAAAGTGGAAGAAAAGATATGTATTTTATAAATATTTTTTACTTATAAGTAACAAAACATAAAATAATAATAATAATAATTAAAAGAAACAAAGCATAAAATACAAAACATTAAGAAACTGAAATATTATATATTATAAAATTTAATGCTTTGATGCTAACATTTAAATATGAATTATGTTTAGCTTTTTTGTTAAAGATTTCTAATTATATGATTACTGCTAATAATATGAAAATAATATTGATTAAAAAATGTAATATTGCATTGTTTATTCAAAAATAATTAATACAATAAATAATAACTTATAACAGTTTATTTATATATAATTTAAAATAAAATAAAATTTGTTTTGAAAATAAATTTAGGATTAGTGGATTGTCATATCTCAACCAAAAAACTAAAAGATGGTTTGTTTATTGCTCGAAATGCACATAAAACAATCGGAACAAATGCAAGAACACTCACTGTAATTTATTTGGAGTTAAATTTTTTTTTATATGTATAAGTGTATGTGTATATATGAATCAGTGCTTTTTAAACAACGCTGACTCATATATAAACACACACATACAATTTTGTTTTCTCAAAGCGTTTTGAACTAATCTACTTTTTAAAAAAACACTGTTTCATATATATATATATATATATATATATATATATATATATATATATATATATATATATATATATATATATATATATATATATATATGTATATATATATATATATATATATATATATATATATATATATATATATATATATATATATATATATATATATATATATACATATATATATATATATATATATATATATATATATATATATATATATATATATATATATATATATATATATATATATATATATATATATATATATATATATATATATATATATGAAACAGTGTTTTTTTAAAAAGTAGATTAGTTCAAAACGCTTTGAGAAAACAAAATTGTATGTGTGTGTTTATATATGAGTCAGCGTTGTTTAAAAAGCACTGATTCATATATACATATATATATATATATATATATATATATTTATATACATATATATATATATATATATATATATATATATATATATATGTATATAAATATATATATGTATATATATATATATGTATATATATATATATATATATATATATATATATATATATATATATATATATATATATATATATATATATATATATATATATATATATATACTCATGACTATGCAAAGAAAAGTTTCTTCCATAAAATAGTTAGTTATGCTTACGTATTTAATAGTTTTGCCTACGTATTTCTTTGAGCATTTGTATTCAATCAAATAGGTTGCGGGTTAGTGATGTTCTTAAATTTGAATTTGATTTGAAGTAGAAAAACGTAAAAACAAAGTTGAAACAAAAAAATTTGATCAAAAAGTGCATGAAGCTCTTGAAATAAAGAGGTTCCGATGTTCACGGAATGTACATGGCGGAATTAATTTAGATAACGGGTAGTTTATGAAAACTAAATTTTGGACTCCATTTTTTACATTTTTATGTAAGCAAGAAAGAAGCCATTCAACTGCTGACGTCAGTTAATTTTAAACTGTTTCTAACATTACAAAAAAAAATTTCGCATAATTTTTATGAGCTGATGATGCTGGTAACCATAATTCAGCCAAAATTTCTAATAATAAATTATTAATTGTATTAAGAGAATTTGTATTAATTTATTTAAAGTTAATTAATTTAAATCATTTTTATGCTTCTGAAAGTTACAGTTAAACTCATTGTTGCATCATAAAAAAAGTATCAAATGTTATTTTAACCATGAATTTATTTACATAATCCGAGTAAGTTTAGTGTTAAAATCGAGCAAACATATTCAATTTTTCAATTTGTTGTTGGTCAGATTTTATACTTTAAAAATATATGTATTTCAAGAAAATAATGATAGAACTTTGCAACTATCATGTAGCGTAAGTTAACAAAGACACAATAAAGTTTTGTTTTTTCTAAAATTTTAATTTTTTTTAACAAGTTAAAACTACAAGCGTTTACTGGCACTTTTTTCGTAAAGTTTTTGTTGCACGCAAAATGAATAATTATGTATTTATGTAATTCGTATTTGGTAACAAATTGTTTGTAAATGCAATTAAGGGAGTTGTCCATAAAGTATGTCACCCTATATTTATCAATTTTCTTCCCTTCCCTCTCTTCACAAATGATCACATATACACTCACCCCCTCTCCCTCCTCAACTGTGATACCAGCTTTTACGTCAAAAATATTTTAAAAGATTTAAATGTTAATATTTTGCAGCATTTTAAAAAATTCAACCTAATGAAAATAAGGCAGTACGCATAAAACATGACAAGTGTGAGTAAAAATTTAACTTACTATAAAAAAATGAATTATAAGAAGTAAAAACTTCAACTAAAAGAATTATATGACTTTGATAAAAATAAAGTTGTCATAATTTTAAAGTTGCTCTTGCTTATGAAAAAAACTGTTTCCGAAATGATAACTTTTATAAATGTTATGAAAAATCACTCAGGAAGAGTGCCACCTTAACCACCAGTGCCATTTTAAAACTTTTTTAATTACTTTTGATAAATGAGTTAAATACTTTTGCAATTCTATTGTTATCTAACTCTAAATAATAGATATAAAATATCCACAATAATAATTGCTGGGTAACATAAGTGATAAAATATAAGTTAAATATATAGTATTAAAAAACAAGTTTATTTTCCTTAGCCGGTCCCTCTGATGAATTTTTAAATATATTGTGAAAATTTTCAATACAATCGGCTTTACTGATTCACAAAAATCTGACCTAAAAGTTAAAACAGTTTTTTAATCTTGTTTTCTGCAAAACTTAAGTTAAGTGGCATTTTTCAGTAATAAGTTCACCTTATTTTGGTCAGACTGAAAACTTTTCAGCTTATTTTATTCTTCAGACTAACAGCTTTCATACAAATATAGCTAAAAATTTAATTTACAGTTTAAATAGGCAAATACTTGATAAAGTTACGTGTGTAACATAAAAATGGAATATGTACATATATATATATATATATATATATATATATATATATATATATATATATATATATATATATATATATATATATATATATATATATATATATATATATATATATATATATATGTATATATATATATATATATATATATATATATATATATGTAGATATATATATATATATATATATATATATGTAGATATATATATATATGTAGATATATATATATATATATATATATATATATCTACATATATATATATATATATATATATATATATATATATATATATATATATATATATATATATATATATATATATATATATATATATGTAGATATATATATATATATGTAGATATATATATATATATATATATATATATATATATATATATATATATATCTCTACATATATATATATATATATATATATATATATATATATATATATATATATATATCACTATAATTATGTTTCACTAATTATAGTGCTTTTTTTTACTTTAGATTGCATCTATAACAAAATTGAATTGAAAATTTAAGAATGATTTCATATAGAGTGGGAAAAGCCCAAAACAAATAAACAAGTTAAAAAAAACAAATCATGTAAAGTAAATCATGTTAAAATGACTCTTACCTTTTAAAATAGTTTACCATTAATAGTCATTTTTTTAATTTAACATTTAAAAAAATGCTTTATTGCAACTCCTAACTGTATTCTATATAATAAAATAATACTGGATTAAAAGGTAGCACAAGCCCTTTAAACATCATATATCCCTAATATCATCAACAAAAAAAAAACTTTTAAAGTTTGTTATGTTGGGTCTCAAAAGAAGTGAACTTCTGCTGTCGCAAAGAAGTGTCACTACATCAACTGAGGATTCTTCTGATTTCATTAGAAAAAAAAAGAAAAAAACAAAGAATAATGAAAGAAAAGCTGCCCCATGCCAAATCCTCAGTTGATATAGCGGCACTCCTTTGCAGCAGCAGCTATATGCTGATGTATATACATATATATATATATATATATATATATATATATATATATATATATATATATATATATATATACATGTATATATATTATTATTATTATTATTATAATTTTCACATTATATTATTTTGCGAATTTGGCACCTACGATGCCAAATTTGTGAAATAATTAATATTTTTCCAATTTCAATTTCAATTTATATAATTCAAAATTATATATATATATATATATATATATATATATATATATATATATATATATATATATATATATATATATATATATATATATAAACACATATAAATTTATATTGATTGTTTAGCTTTGTGCAAAAGTATATGCAGAAGAAACACAAACTTTAGAAAAGGTTTATGTTTTTTCTTTTTTCTTATAATAATGTTACATTTCTTTATTATTTTTATGTAATATAATTCTTATCAATTTTCTTTTATACAGTAATTATTTTTATGTATTTGTGTTTTTAGGCTAAAAGCATGTTGAAAAAAGCTTTATCTAGTGATGCATCATATGTCCCTGCAACAATCATTCTTGCTGAAGTACTCATTAAAGAAAAGCTTTATAACGAGGCTGAGCAGGTGTGAGTGCCTTTATTATATATATAATTATTATTTCATATATATATATATATATATATATATATATATATATATATATATATATATATATATATATATATATATATATATATATATATATATATATATATATATATATATATATATATATAATTTTTGAATAAAGTAAAACTTTCAAATTATTTAACCTGGAGTTCATTTGTGTACATAATGGTACAAATAGTTATTTAAATGTTTTTCTTGTTCTTTTATTACGTGGATGTTTTTCTATTACATTAGACAATCTTTTAAGTTGCATTTTGTGGTCTTATTTTCAGCTTCTAAAAGTCCCATCATCATGTTGTATAATTATACAAAATTATTTTGAGGGTTAATAAACAATTAAAATTAACTGACATTTAACTGGCAGTTAAATGACTTGTTATTTTTACACAAAAATTCAAAGGACTAATTTTAGTTTTAACAAACTGCCCATTATTAATATTAATACCGCCATTTAAAGGGAGATGAGAGATGACTCTGTATTTTAAGTTAGCATTTCTCTTAATTGTTTGCAATACTCTTAAGTTTGGATTTGATTTAAAAATTACTCTGTATTCAACTTTTCTAGATATTTTTCTTAGTTTTGGGGATAGTGATGGTATCCATAATACAGAAGGAATGTTTTCATAATCTGATTAAGTCTTTTATGGATCATTTTTATCCAATAAGGTTAGCAATAATTTTTTCTAATTAGATTAGCCCTGTGAATGGAACCTTTAAATATTTTGCTTAATTTTTAGGGTCATGATTTAAGTGAGGTTTATATTAAGTGAGGTTTGAAAATGAATATTTGTAATGGCTTTCTATCTGTAAAATTTAAACTCATATTTATTGTTATTTGTTATGGTTATATTTATTGTTATTTGTTATGGTTATATTTAGTGTTATTTGTTATGGTTATATTTATTGTTATTTGTTATGGTTATATTTATTGTTATTTGTTATGGTTATATTTATTGTTATTTGTTATGGTTATATTTATTGTTATTTGTTATGGTTATATTTATTGTTATTTGTTATGGTTATATTTATTGTTATTTGTTATGGTTATATTTAGTGTTATTTGTTATGGTTATATTTATTGTTATTTGTTATGGTTATATTTATTGTTATTTGTTATGGTTATATTTATTGTTATTTGTTATGGTTATATTTATTGTTATTTGTTATGGTTATATTTATTGTTATTTGTTATGGTTATATTTATTGTTATTTGTTATGGTTATATTTATTGTTATTTGTTATGGTTATATTTATTGTTATTTGTTATGGTTATATTTATTGTTATTTGTTATGGTTATATTGAGAAAGTTTAGAGTTCTATTTTCACGTTCAATTTTAATTTCGTATTGAAGATATTTTCTTGTTTAAGATATTTTAGTATTGTTCTGCTTTTTGAAAATCTAGCATGACTATCATCATTGTATTTTATATAATTTAAACTCAAGAATTTTATTTGCAATTTTGAAAACATTATCATACTATTGTAGAAAAAATCCCACTAGTAAGACCATAAAAAGCCTATAGGGCAGGATTTCTCCAATTCCTGAATATCTTTGTTCAACAAAAATTAACAATAGTGTAATTGAAGCTATAAGTACTTAAGTCACAAAAAAAATGTTTTATGAAAATCTACTTTGATCAGCCATTTTAAATTGTTACTTTAAAGCGTTATATCTCTGATCAAATTAGATTTTCTCAATACATTTTTTTTGTGACTGAAGTACTTTTAGCACTAAGCTTTTCAGTTAAAACTCTATAAATTATCTTGTTTCTAGGTTAAGCTTCATGGAATGTTTGTAGAAATCTTTTTTTTAAGTTGATTAATAAGAAGCTTTGTTAAGTAAAGTTGATGGATACAGGTTAACTACATTAAATGAAACCTGAACCTCATTTTTTTCAATCCCTCATTAATTTACTTAAACAACTAAGTCTGAAAAATTTTTCAAATGTGTTTAGTTTTTGTTTAAGACAGGTTGTATTTACTAAAAATTTAGATATTCTATAACTAGGAATGCAGAAGTAGAGGTAGAGAATGGAACCAGGATCAGGAATTCTTCTTCAAAAACATTTTTCTATTAATTCTTTTTACAAAACCTCCTAAAATTTTGCCTCCAGTTGTGAAGTTATTACAATGAATAAATGTTATTAGCCCGATTTAAATAAATTAATAATTCATTAGCCTTTTTTTCTTTTGAGTTATCAAGAAAATGATTAACATTTGTAATTTCAGATCTATTATCATTAAGAAATTTAAAATTAGCAAAACATATTGAAACATTTATATCAGAAACAGAATAAGAAAATACTTCTTGTTTAAATAACAATCACTTGAACCTAATAATAAAATTTGAAAATCAAAAACGTCTTCTTGCGTTGTAAAGCATTAAGGGGTTGTAAACTACAAAAATCATTTTTAAAATAAAATTTTCTTAAGTTTTTTTAAAAAGTTTTTTTTAATTTTATAATAGTTTAATTGTATAAAAGATTATATAACACATATTGTTTGTATAACACATGTTGTTTGTATAACACATGTTGTTTGTATAACACATGTTGTTTTTATAAACATGTTGTTTGTATAACATGTTGTTTGTATAACACATGTTTGTATAACATGTGTTATACAATAGTTTAATTGTATAACACATGTTGTATAAAAGATTGTATAAAAATTGTATAAAAGATTGTATAAAACAAGTTAAAAACTTTAATGTACAAAAGTATTAAACATCTAAAATTACTTTGATGTTGTCAAAGTAATAAATTAAAATAATATTTTTAATTGACTGGCAGATAAAAACATTTGACCATCAACTCTATGTGTTAGCTGGTCAAATAGATTGCCTGCCATCAACTTTTTATTTTGTGTGCTGGGTTGGGGTTGTGCACTGGGTACTAGATTCAACTGATGTAAAGTTACTTTAGAGACCACAAATAGTTGCAAAAGTTGAAACAGTTGATTGTTTAGTGATCGACAGTGATCCTTTTTTTATGTTTAATATTTTTGGTTACTTTGGTCATGGTTTAAGTTAAAGAGGTTCATAATTGGCTCATTCATAAATAGAGCATAGAAACTCAAGCAATAATCTATGCCATTGTCAAAGTCCTGCTAATTAATTTGAAGTCGTAACTTAGGCAGGCTTGGATAAGAATGGTGTGTGATCGAAGGCTTTTGCTGACCATCCAAATGATTTTTTTTGTTGACTACTTGACCACAACTGTTTAGATATTTTGATGATTTAAACATTTCAGAAATGCGCTAAAAAAAGAAACATTAGGCTAAACTTAAACTTGGAAAAAAATTAAAAAAACTAAAGAAAAAAGAAAACAACTTCTTTAGAAAAATAAAATATATAAGCTTTAAAATAAAACTCAAACTCAATGCTAAATTTACTTTTTATTACATTTTCAATTGTATTTGAAATAAATTACTTTAAAAATTTTTTTTGATTTGAAACATTTTATTAAAGTTATGCAAAATGCTTATATAAAGTGACTTTTTAACTATATATTTTTAACTATATAATTTTAAATATATAAACTTTTTAAAATAGAAACAAAAAAAAATAAAGCAGTTAAATCATTACATTGCAATGGGAATTTTAATTTAACTTAATTTTTAGTCTTAATTTAAAGTAACTTAAAAAAAACTTTTAAAAGATTTTTAAAAAGACATGGAAAAATAGTTTCAAACTTTTAAATTTATCATAAAAAATACATTCCTACTAAAACAAAATTTAAATATAAGATTTAATTTACTCAAAGTTATTTTAAATGATTATTGTAATAAATTTTTCATTTTATTTAAAGGTTTCGCGTAAAATAAAAACTTAAAAAAAAAGATCAAAGGGAAAAAGTTAATCAAAAGAAACAGCCAAAGTCAAATTGTAAAGAAAAAAAATTATAAGCCTGTTCAGTTAAATGTCACTGTTATTACTCTGATATTTTACAGCTGTTGATGAAATTTTGTTGCCTCTCTTAGAGCTACCAGAGAGTTTGGAAACCTTACTACCAGCCAGCCTCAATGCCATTAAACCGATTTTTAGAGCCTCCATTGAAAGCTAAAAGAAAGAGTTGCAAGCAACTCTATCAAGAAGGAACAAATAAAAACTCATAAGTATAATAGTTAAGAAGATGTTCTTGAGTCTATTCATAGATTTATTATTTTAGACGTGAAACAATTTAACACAAGTTTACATCTATGCCAGCAGATGAAAAAAGGGTGCTATTCTGAACAACAGATTTATTCACTTCCATTTTTTTTACCGAAGAGGCCTTCTACAAGACATTAACTGGGTTTAGTTAAATTCTGCCCAAGATGAGTATTTTTATTGTGACAGCATCTATAGCCTTTATTCAACAAAGAGCCCCAAGGCATTCATCAAGAACAACTTTAATATTTTGCTGGAGATTTTTAGTTTCATTAATAGGCATGAATAATGTTTTTAGCATTGTTTTTTATACAAGCCAAAGTTTCAAATCTAAATTGAATTACAATACTCATTGCTATCTTTGTATTTACAGGACTGTTAATTCATAATAATTCATAATAAGTTTGTATTTTTTGCATATTTGTGAAAATATATTTTAGATTTTGCTAACAACTTTTTCAATAATTGTAACTGTTCATTTTTAAATATCAGTCCCATATTTAACTGTTATCAGCTTTATATTTAGCTGTTATGAATGTAATTTTTTTTTCTTAATACAAATAATCTTATTTAATTGAATGCTTAAAAAGGTCTTTTAATTAATTTATTTAAAACATAACTCAGAGTTTTATGTAAATTAACAATCATCAGATGTTACAAATCTTAAAAACATAACAAAAAATATATATTAAAAATACTGTTGAGTGTCCTCTTTGATGACATTAAAATTAGTAATCAACTTATTTAATGCAAGATTTTTGTTCATTTTGCTTCTTTGATAAATTTGATGATGAAGAAATTCTACATAAGGAATAAGTTGCACAATATACCATCAGGTTTAAACAGTTCCACATGGTCTTTCCATGTGGAACTTTCTTTAATTTCCAATACAAATTTAAAAAGTTCATTAAAATTAGCTTCACTTTCATATAGAAAAGTTTGAATTTGTAAAATCAATCTTTAAATGTTTTTTTCGTAAGTTCAATATAATAGAAACCCTTTTACTGTTGATTTGTTGTTGTTTTTTTAATATTATTTTTGTTAGGCTCTCTAAGGTCGAGAAAGCCACTACAGTTGAGAAGACTACTTTAGTTGTGGTTACAACCTTCTCTCAACTCTATAACTGCGAAACATGAGCCTTAATGAACAAGGCCACTGCAGGGAGAAACAAGTTGAGCGCAGTACTACCAAAAACATGGTGGGGATCAAACTCTGAACTTCTTGCTTATGAGGCGAGCGCTCTACCACTACACCACTATGGCATTATTGAGAAGTGTTTGTTGATTAAGGTTTAAGCTTTTTCCTACTTTCTTCCCAATTTGAATTTACCTTATACCAAGAAACGTAAACGCAACATCATATGGTTTAATCCTTTCAGCGAAAATGTTTTCACTAAAGTAGGAAAAAGTTTTTTAACCTTAATCAACTAACACTTCCCAATAAATCACAAACTTCACAAAATTTTCAACAAAAACATGGTAAAAATAAGTTATAACTGTATGCCGAATATAAAATCTATATTAAATGTACACAATCAACACATAATAAACAATGAAGCAATTCCACCTAAAACCAACTGTAACGGTCAGATAAAAATACCTTTATCAAAGCAGTGCTTAACAAAAAACATACCAAGCTAATACAAAAACATTGTATACCAAGCTAATATAACACCATTCAAAACTAAATATGCTAACCATATAAAATCATTTAACATTCTTAAATACAAAAATGACACTGAACTATCGAAAGAATTTTGAAAATTAAAAGATGCAAATCTTTTGTTTCAATTCAAAATCCAATTGTTACATGGAAAATAATTAAACAGTGCAATGCTTACAACCCTACCACGAAATCCTGCAAACTATGCATATACCCAAAAATCAAAATCTGTTAAATAAAAAAAGTGAAATGGTATCTAAGTGTTGGCATCAAAACAATTTTCTTCTTGCACGATTTGACACAGGTGATTAAGCCGTTTTCTAATATAAACTGTTTTGTTTTAACGTCAGGACTCATTCTATTGCTTTTTTATTGTTTTGTTTTTTTTGTTATTTTCTGCATTTTTATTTTTTTAATGTTTTTTTCTTGATTTAAAGAATAGACATGGCTGATGATTGCCGAAAAGCATGAAACTTTAAGTTCCACACAAAGTTGTATTTTTCAAATAATTCAACTATATATATATATATATATATATATATATATATATATATATATATATATATATATATATATATATATATATATATATATATATACATATATATATATATATATATATATATATATATATATATATATATATATATATATATATATATATATATATATATATATATATATATATATATATATATATATATATATATATATATATATATATATATATATATATATATATATATATATATATATAAAGTATATTTTCTTTAGCTTAAATAAACAGTTAGCCATTCGACAAACATCAACATTATATCGTCTTGCTGGCGATTGCATGAAACTCATGGGAAAGATTGAGGATGGAATAATAATGTATGATAAAGCTCTGAGGTATCTATTAAATCTTAAACTACTCTCTTTGCTATCTTAGTTGTTAAATGGTTGTTAGACAGTTAAATAAAAATTTAGACTGAAAAGTTTGTTGCTATTATAGTTTAAATCCATATGTAGAATATTAATCACTAACCATCTTGACCATATCTTGACCATATCTTGACCCGCTAAATTTAACCCAATATATATACAGGGATTATTATTTTCTAGATGTTTCCGGAATTCCAGATATTTTTTTCAACTTTTAGTTTTTCCAGATATCCAAAACATTTTCAATACATGCAAGTTTAGGTATATATTTTATGGATTATCTTTTTCCGGATATTTCTGGAATTCCGGATATTTTTCTCAACTTTTTGTTTTTCCGGATATCCATAACGTTTTCCTTACATACAAGGTGTATATTTTTGTATATTTTTGTAATATATTTTAGGTGTATATTTTTGTAATATATTTGTTTTTTATGCTTTTTCACTCATCGCTCATACAAAAATTATAAAGTTTGGAAAAAAATTTAAAACAACTTAGCTAAAAGTAAAATTAAGAGGAAAATAAGAGAAAATATATTCCGGATTTTTTTCGGATAAACAACTTTCCGGATTTTTAAAATAAGACCTGGATGATCTATGCTTATTACAGAGTACTGTGGAAGAGCATTTGATAGGAAGTATTGCCTCCTTCCTAACCGATGTCGCCAAACTTGCCCAGAAGTTAGGCTCGAACCACGGATCCTTTGTTTTTTAGGCAAGTGTGCTACCACGGCTGCTCAATTATCTAACTTAAGGTCAATGTCTGAGAGCTTAAGAGATATCTAGGAGCACAAATCGTTATTTCATGTTTAAAAAGCACAATATAAAAGTCGATATTCAATTCAAAAATTAAAATAGTGAGAAGAATATTGTCAATAATTCTCACTGACGACGATAAAAGATTTTGTAAGTAAATATTATGTTTGGATTATGTTAAATAATTATTCATAATGATTAAAGCAGTCCAAAAATTTGTTCCTCTTTATGTCCGCAATCAAGTTTTTGTTGTTCACGATTCAAACAATTTTTTGTATTGCTCACTTATTTAAATTACGGTATTGTGTAATAAATGAATAATAATAAAAATAATAAAAAAATAATATCAAAAATAGTAAAAAAATAAGTATTTTTTAGTTCTTTAGTTCTTTTTTTTTAAATAAATTTTTATAGAAATTGTTGGTAAATTATAAATTTAGGTTAGACCCAGATAATGCTCAGGCCTTGGATGGCTTACATGGGATTGACCGTAACTCAACTACAGGAGAATTAGACTTGTCTGATATTGTCGGGCGGGAACCTCGCGATCGAAGCAGTATGGAGGTAATTTTTTCTATATAAAATGAGATTAAACTTTTACACGGTTATTTAAATTCTTGCATTAAAATATTTTTTTGTTATTGCTTTTTATAGTTTTAAAGCGTTTACTTTTTTTTTTTTTTTTTTTTTTTAGGATGTTGAGCTGGCTTCCGGAGTCGACGTAAGTTTTAAAATGTTGTCTTTACTATATTTGAATTTTATTTTGCTCCTTTAATTTTTTTAAACTAAGCTTTTTTTATATTTTTTTTACTAGTGGATAGACTGAAAAGCGGTTAATTTAAATTTTCTGCAACGTTATTAATGATTGTGGGCCGCCAGAATGTTAACGCTAAACTTTGATTTTATGCTAAGACTGAAGAACTTTGCAAGAAAAAGTGCTGTTGAAATTCTTTGAATTCTATGATGAAAATTTTTTATGAAGACATTTTTTAATACTCTGTGATTCTTTGAAAAGCCCCTGGACGAAATGCTCTCAGATAAAAGCCTTTAAATAGTTTTAAAAAATAAAAAATAATAGATAATTTATTTAGTATAATTTTTTCAAAAAATCATACTAATCTTTTAATATATATGGTAAACACATTCAGTATCTAAATTGTCTACTTTTTTAATGGCATAATTAGTAACTTTCATAATAATTAATTTTGAAAAATTGAAAGAAAAGGGCATCCATATAGTATGTACGCAATAAAATCATTGATTTAGGACCCCCTCTCCCCCTTGTACACACCTGTATACTTTCAACATACTTGCATACGTAATTTAAGGAAGACCCCAGTAGAAAAAACTGTTTTCGCTATCGAAAGCGAAATATGTGTTGGATGTTTACTTTTTTTATTTGTTTAAAATTTACGTAGATAGTATGGTAACTATTGGGGCGCTTTGATCGTTGACTATGCAGGGCTTATTGATCTAAAAATGTAAATAAAGTATCAAAGTGTCTCATGTAAAACTTAATAGGTTTTTTTTGAAGTTGCACAGTGTACAAAAAAACGTTAAAACTTATTTTGTTTGAAGTTCAAGCTGTTCAGAGATTTGAAAACTTTATTATTTTAATTTAATTTTAGAAAGTGTACTTTCTAAAATTAAAATAAATTACATTAATAAATAAAATTCTGATAAACTTCTAAAATTAAAATAAATGTTTTTTACTTTTAAATAAATGAAAATTATTTAATATATAATTATAAATTATATATAATTAATTCCTTATATCTACAATATTAAAACTTTGTATATAATAAAGCGTTAAGTACCTTAAAGATCTTTTTCCAAGAATGTCAGAAACAAAGATCTAAGCAAGTATCTTTATCATTTGAAAAAGTTCATAAAATTTAACAAGCGCCAAAGCTGCTGAACAGGAAAAAGTAAAAACTTTATAGCAATTTTTTATGGCTTCCTAGGTAATCACAATACTGAAAAAATTGTATGCTGTTAGTACAGGTCTCATGAAAGAATTTTGCGAAAACGGAGTGCGAGTGTCTCCTAAAGTCCGTAAATTTACGCTTAACTTGACAAATTTAAGTAAAACTTAAAAGTTTACTTAACTCAGAGTATTTTATTGTGAACGTTTTAACTGAATTCAGAGGATTGTGAACGTTTTAACCATAAACAATAAATCTTGAAAATAAAGGAAAACTACAAATTGGAGCTTTTTCAAAAAGCAATTTGCGGTTGCAACTAAAAAAAACAACTCAATTCTCATTATTTTCGATCAATTTTTTACCGTTCAAAAGTAAAAAATGCTACAAAAGTATCAGAAATATAAAAACCACTTTTTTTTGTAAGAGCAAATTTAAAAATCACTCATTTTTGTCACAGCAAATATAAAAACCATTTTGTTTTGTCACAGCAAATATAATCGTTTAATATATAATACCAAATCATTAAAAGGTTTGAGGTAATGTTTTTAAAACGTTTTTTCTTTATTTCTGAACTTTTAAATGATAAGACGGGTTTTTTTTTTGTTTTTTTTTTCTGAACTTGTGGCTAAAATACGAATATTTTTTTTGTTACTTAAATACTAATTACTAAACTCCATGGCCCCTACATTCTTAAACAGGGCCGTATGCTGGGCCCATGTGCGAGTTTTTTTTTTTTTTTTTTTTTGCTGGAAAATTATGTTTTTCCTAAATATTTTTCCGAAAATCTTTTTCTTCGCAAAATATTTTCGAAAAATTAATAAAAATTTAGAAAGTTTTGCCTAAATTTGCCTAAATTCCCCAAAATAAAATGTTACTATACATTGTCCATCTGAAATCAATTTGGGCCATGTACTTGGGTCATAAAAAATTATCTCAGTGTTTTTAATTACATTAGAACCAAAAGTGTCATCTGCATTTAATTCTTTTTCTGCCATCGTTATACTTACCTCTTGTGTGTTGTCCATCAGAAGGAGTGGAGCCTTTCCTTTGTCTGATTTTTCACCTATTGAATCTATTTCAAAATGATTTTCAGCTCTGACATCAATGCTACAGTTATGCTCTCTGCAATCCTCAATTTTATTATTAAAAAAATCTTTGTTTCCATATCAGAAAAATTTGGTTATTAATTGACTACCAAGAGATTCTTTTGATCTTATCTCATTTTTTAGTTTTCTCTTTTGAGCTCCGGATTTATGTTTGTAATTTGAGTTTTACATGGTATTTTAATAACTTGCCAATCGAAAAAAATAATTTCCCTTTAAATCCATCATTTTTTTTAGTATTAAATTGTATTTGTTATATTAATTACAATTACAATTAAAGTTTCACGGTACAGTTATGAACCGTAAGTTCATCATTAGCTAGCAAGCTAGCTCTTATAGCTGCGATAATACAGCCACAGAAAATGATGCACTGTGGTAACTATGTGAGTTGCTGGTCTAGTTTTTTTTTTTGAAACTGTCGATAGTAGAGGCATTGACAAGATCATCCGGCAGAGCATTCCAAGTATTTGCAATCCGATTGTTGAAAAAGTTAAGTCGAACGAGGCAGTTGTTATTAATTTCGCAATGAAAGCGTTTGCGATGACCATAGATGGGAGGAATGTATATTGGGTCAATATGCCAATTGATTAATTCAGTTTTATTTTCCATTTTGAATTTTTGGATAAGGTCACCACGTTTTCTTCTGTCACTTAGTGAAGTTAGTCCAAGTATATCACATCTTGTCTTGTAATCAAGATGCTTTTTGTGTCTTGTAATCAAGAGGTATTTTTGTGGCACAATGTTGTATTTGTTCAATTTCAGTAATGTCTTTTTTAGGGTGAGGGCACCAGGTGGTACCCTCACCCTAAAAAAGACATTACTGAAATTGAACAAATACAACATTGTGCCACAAAAATACCTCTTGATTACAAGACACAAAATTCATCCCTAAAAAAGACATTACTACCCTATAAAATTTTACAATATTTTTAGTAATTAGTATTTCAAATAATAAAACTTAAAAAATCGTTTGTAAATTCAAAACTTATAAGATAAGAAATACATTTACAATAGCAGACTATTGTTTAGAATATTAAATATAATATTAAAGAGTAATTAGTAGGTTAATTTTTGTTTTTGTTTGCTAGTTTAAAAAGCTTTTTAGAAGAACTTTAATTCATTTTCATGTATCATCAGTAATTGCTTAAGTTTTGTTTTAAACTGGTTTAAAGAATAATTAGATTTCAGCTCATTATTTAATATTGTATTCCACAGCTTAGGACCTCGATTTGCAATGGAGAATTTGGTTGCTGAATAATGTGTTTTGGATTGAATGTAATTGTTTTTTGAAAATCTGGTAGGGTATATGTGGTTTATTTTTTCAAAAAGTGAATTAAATAACATTGGTGATATTTTTTTATCAAGTTTAAACATGAAGATAAGAATATGGTAAAGGTTTAGTTTATATACATTTAGAATATTAAGTTTATTAAATAATGTTTTAGTGTGAGAGAAACGGTCTACGTTTGTAATTATCCTTATAGCCTGTTTTTGTTTACTAAACAGTTTTTTTACTTTTATTGCGTTTGTGCTGCACCAAGCAACGTTTGCATAATTTAAGTAGCAATGAATTAAAGAAAAATATAAGTTTTTTAAACAAGATAGATTTAAAAACTGCTTGGCTTTATACAAAACACCTATATTTTTTGATATTTTATTTTCAATTAGACCTATGTGGTCCCTCCAGGTTAAATTTTCATCCAGAACCACACATCCAGTTCAATAAAAGAACAACAAATGTTTCTAAATATCCTGAACAAACAAAAATCCTGTCATAAAATTCACTGCTGAACTCGAAAACCACCATAATTTTTTTGATATTAATATTACAAACACAATGTATGAACCTTATGAGTTTCAAATACATTGAAAAGAAGCAATAATTAATATTCAACTTAAACTTAATTCAAACATCGATCCTAATATTATCACAGGCGTAACCAAAAAACAACAAGAACAATCTAACTAATATTGGCATGCCGATATTAGTTAGATTGTTCTTGTTGTTTTTTGGTATGCCGATATTAGTTAGATTGTTCTTGTTGTTTTTTTTGGTTTTATATAACCACTGCCGCGGCAGTGGTTATATAAAAAAAGATTTAAAAGTATCAATTATCAACTAACTGATAACCAACTTTTTATAAGCTACCATGGTTACCATTTGTTTGTTGCAAACTTAAAAAAAGAACTTAAGAAACAAAATATAAAATTTATATTCACATCAGCTCCAAATTTAAACAATGTATTCTGCAACAATAAAACTCAAGTTCTTAAAAATACAAACCCAGGCGTTTATCAACTAAAATGTTTAAGCAATTCTATTGTTGTGAGCCCGCAATAAAATACAATATTACAATATTAGACTTTAATCAAGTATATAAAGTCACTACAATAACGATTATAAAATAAACCGCTGTGATAGAATTATTGATAGAACGTAGTTAATATTTTGGTTCAAGTCATATACATGTCGGGAGATGACGTCACGGTTTTACATTGCGCAATAGATAAAACAGTATTGAATTTGTCCGTTTGAATTATTCTTTTCAATGAGAGAAATGCTGAACTAATAAGTAATAAATACGTTAAGGTATTTTGGTCATTTAATATTTCTTCCTATTCTTGAAAATGTACTAGGTTGGTTGAAAAGTTCGCGGAGCGGAAATGAAAAAACAATTTTATGATTCAAAAAATGACTTTATTCTTCAGTATATTCTCCCTTAAGAGCAATACACTTTTTCCAACGATTCTCCAATTCATGTATCCCATCTCTGAAGTGCGATTCCGGAAGGCCTTCAAAATACCCATTTACGGCTGCAATGACTTCTTCATGTGATGAGAAACGCTTTCCACGTAGAAATTTTTTGAGATGTGGAAAGAGGTGGAAGTCGGACGGAGCCAGATCTGGTGAATAGGGTGGATGTTCCAAGCGTTCGTACTTTAATTCGACCAATTTCGCTTTTGC